CACCAGCACAGGCGCGGTGGCATTCAGGGTCCGCGGGGGGCGCCCCCGGCCCCGTGCCGCCACTGGGGCACACAGAGAAACCTCCAGCGCCTCCTTGAGGGTCCGCAGGGGCAGCCCCCGACCCAGTGCATGCACCGCAGCATGCAGAAACATCACCATCAGCTTCACCTGCAGGAGCTCCTTCAAGGCCCGCGTGGACAGCCCCCGACCCCGTGGTAGAGTCTGTGCCTTGAACCATACCCAAGTAGAGAGCACTCTGTTCATTGGCATCCCCTCTCTTGCGCTTCCACTCCCCCGTCTGCGGGGATCACTGAGTAGTTTTTGCCAAGAGGTCCCTGACGTCTCGGGTCTGGCCCAGTGGTCCCCTTTCGCCGCGTCGTACCGTTTTTGAGCCCGTGGGGACGGCCCCCGGTTCCGTGCCCTCCTGAAGGCACATCCCCCCGCTTTGACAGCTCACCTTCGCGAGGCCGATCTTCTTGTGAGTCTTTCGGGGCAGCCCCGGCCCCGTGCCTTCCAGCGTACACATACTCCGTCCCAACATACTCAATCAACTTCCTATGCCGCACACTTGACTTAGGCAACCTGCCTCTCGTCAGCTTGCTGATAGTGTGTCGCCTGTAGCGGCCCAACACGCCACTGCACTGGCCTGCCAATCCTCTGATGCAACGTTTTCCAACACAGCTGCACCTGAGGCAGGCGTGGATCTGCAGGTCGGAGAAACTCATGAAATGGGAGCCGCGGATGGGGATCCTTGGAATCGAAACGCCGATATTACCAACTCACTGGACATCTTGTGTCAAGGCCACCCACGCACGCCGTCTTCAAGAAAGATTCTAGCTTCCTCCCGCCACACAGTCTGCCAGACAAGTCGTTGCCCCTCACCGCATGTCCGAAGGTCCAGGCATGCTCTACCGAGTCCACCACCGCCATGTCATTAGCCAATTCCTTGCAGTTGTCCAGGTAGTGTTCTAGAATTGTGCCCGTCATGTGGTCATTCGATCGACTGGTGGCCCTCAATCTTGACCAGATTGAGCCAATCCCATTTGCCTTAAATGGAAGTCTCGATCTTTAGCCAAGGATCAAGGTTTGTCGACCTGCAGACGTCCTTGAAAGAGCTTGGCCACACCCTCAACGACACTCGATGAGGCCGTGCCGTGGTTCTGCTTGGTGCCCGGCTGTTGTGCCCGCCGTGGGCACCTCGCGAGCGCCCCGTGTGCTGGGTCGGTGTGGTGGGGCCTCGCCCCGTGCCCGGTTGGTGGCCGCCTGTGGACGCCTCGTGGGCGCCGCGCGCGCGCGCGCTCAGCGTGGGCGCCTCGCGGGCGCCCCGTGCGCTGGGGGGGTGCGCGGCGGGGTCCCGCCTGGCTGGTGCCCGGTCGGTGGCAGCCCGTGGGTGCCCCGCGGGCGCCCTGCGCGCTGGGCGGGGCGTGGCGGGGCTTCGCCCAGTGCCCCGCCCGTGCCCCGCGCCCCCGCCCGTGGCCGCCTCGTGGCCGCCACGTGCGCTGGGTGCACAACGCAGCCCGCGCCACCTCAGCCTGCGCCACACAGAGATCGGATCACGCCGCTGCGACCACAGAGCTCTGCACCACGTGCAGGTGGTGCACCACCTACCAAACCACCCCAACCCAACCCGAAGGCCTCAATTTGCCCTCCATTTCCAGTGGGGGGGGGGGTCGGGGAACGTTGAAAAAACACATATGGAACCCGTAACCCCCCCAACCCGAAATTCGGGTCAAATTCGGGTCTTCGGGTTGGGTCGGGGTGGTTTGGTAGGTAGTCAGAGATCGGATCACGCCGCTGCGACCACAGAGCTCTGCACCACGTACAGGTAGTGCACCACGCAGCCTGCAGCGCACACGTGGGCAGTGCGCTTGGATTGCAGCACGGAGCCAGCGACGCACAGCTTGCTCCACGCTCGGCCAACCCGCATAGTATGGATGAGCAACCTTGCAAGTTTACCCTTGCAACCTTCATCTTCGCCGCTTTCGCTGGTCGCGCCCCGCTCGCCAAGTGTCGAACTGGCCTTCCAAGGCCCTTGCACCTTTACGCGCGTCTGTCTTCTATGGGTTTATCATATTGTGCATATCATAGATGGCTTCATGCATATCACGCTACACCTCATCGTACGCACCACTCCGGTTACACCACATCTATTAGGCCTCATTGCATCGCACATATTACACCAGATAAGGTTCAGATCCAGGTTGCAGTGCTGCAAAGGTTGGGGTCAACGCTGGCGAGCATATGTTGTACAACAGGTGTGGTGCAATATTTGTGGTGCAAGCCATGCTGTACAGTCTATGCGGGACTCGATGTGCATTGCAAGCTACGTGTGCACTCTGAACGGCGAGCCAGCACGCGAGGCGGTTGCGGGCAGGCGCCTGGGGAAAACCCACGAGACCCAGCCAGCGCACGGGGCTGGCACGCGTCGGGCACGAGCAGGCACTGGGCGCAGCCAGGAGAGCCCCTGAAGCGCACGGAGCGGGCACGGGAAGCGGGCACGGGCGGCTGCCAGACGACCCGGCGGTGAGCCGAGGCAGCGCACGAAGAGGGCACGAGGCGGGCACTGGCGGGCACCAGGCGACAGCCCGGGGGACCCAGCGATTTGCGTCCAGAAGGCAAGTGGGAACACCGAAGTACCCGGACTGCCTGGGCAAGGTTTCATCGATGAAGGTCGTAGCCCCTCACAGTGCGCTTCCCGTTCGCGCGGAGGTTGCGCGCGCACAGTTTATTCAAGGGGCCTACGCCATTCCGCCGCTGTGTTGTACACGCTATGTGGTGCCAGCTATGTGCTGCACCTGTGTGGCGCAAAATATGTGGTGCAAGCTATGTGGTGCCATCAATGTGGTGCAAGCTCTATGGGTGCCAATTGGCACATTCCCGCGATGCAGCCGCCATCTGGGCACCAGACGAAACCTAGCCACAAACATCCCATTCAGGGAATCGTCCCCGTCGTCCTTTAGAGGGATCGGCAGGAGTCAGAGGGGTACGGAGACGGAAGGGGAGACATGATGGGAGCGAGGAGGGTAGGAAGTATCTTGCAGGAAGGGGGTGCGGAGGAGGGAGAAGGATGTGGACGAGGAGAAGGAGGAGAGTGGTATAGACAAGCTAGGTGCGCTCGCGTCATATCTGACGTCCTACCCCTCCCTCCCATCCCTTACCATGGCGCTGATTTTCTCTATCCGCGGACGCGTGTCGTAGCGGACCTGTGGCTCCGCGCGCGCGTGCGTAGTGGGTGGTGGTGCACGTGCGTGCGTGCGTGCGTGTGTGCGTGGTTGTCGTGGTGGTGGTGGTGGTGGTGGTAGTGGTGGTGGTGGTGGTGGTGGTGGTGGTGGTGTGTGGTGGTGGTGTGCTGGTGGTGGTGGTGCTGGTGGTTGGTACTGGTGCTGGGTGGTGTTGTGGTGGTGGTGGTGGTGGTGGTGTGGTGGTGGTGGTGGTGGTGCTGGTGGTGGTGGTGGTGCTGTGGTGGTGGTGGTGCTGGTGCTGGTGCTGGTGGTGCTGGTGGTGGTGTGGGTGGTGGTGGTGGTGGTGGTGGTGGTGGTGGCGGTGCGGCGCGGTGGTGGCGGGCGGATGGGCGCGCGAGGAAGAGGCCCGCGCTGGGGCGAGAACGCCATCCTGAACGACGGAGGCCAAACACCGATCCGAAAATGAGGCCCACGCTGCAGCGGGAGCACGATTCGGAACGATTCGGGAGCAGAAATGAGGCCGGCGCCTCAACGAGAGCAGCATTTTGGGAAAAAATGACGCCGGCGCCTCAGCGAGAGTCGTTTCCCGGGATTTTCCGGGCATCCTGTGTGTAAAAAACAGTACGCGGAGGGTACGCGGCTATCACCCGGACGCCATCAGGGGAATGATTCGGGAGCAGAAATGAGGCCGGCGCCTCAACGAGAGCAGCATTTTGGGAAAAAATGACGCCGGCGCGAGAGCAGCATTTTGGGGAAAAATGACGCCGGCGCCTCAGCGAGAGTCGTTTCCCGGGATTTTCCGGGCATCCTGTGTTTAAAAAAAAACAGTACGCGGAGGGTGCGCGGCTATCACCCAGACGCCATCAGGGGAAGAGGGAGAGTATATTCATATTGAGTAATTGTGGAGGAGCAGGAGGGGGGAGTAGTAAGGGGTATGGAGGAGGAGAGGATGAAGGAGGGGGAATAGGATGGACCAGGGGTGTGTGCTCGCTTCCGAGTGGGGTACACGCAGCACTGCTTGCACACACCACGGCCTCTGGTGTGGGGAGCCTGTCCCGAGGGTGGAGGCGCTCCTCGGCGCTTCCCTCATCTCTCCTCGCCCCCTTCCTCGGCCGGTCGGTCGGGCGGTCGCGAGTCGCAATGGGATGCGCGACAGGTGGAGCACACGTTGCATTAAGTCGGGCCTGTCCCCCTACAGGAGGAATATTCAAAAATAGTAAAATAACATGGGGACGATTTATGGATTTTTTGCCCATTTGGGGGGTATCTTTTAAGTATGTTTCATTTGTCGCTCAACATTCCGCTGTAGGGGGACACGCCCGACTTAAACGTGGCAGCAGCGCGGCAGCACTCGCCTGGCCAGTTTCCGTCTTGTCTGCACTGGCGGGCGCGGGCGGCGTGTTGCGGTGAGGGGCCGCGGTCACGAGGGAGCCGGTGCTCACTCGATCTTCTCCGCGGGGCCCTCGCCCTCCGTCTTTTGGGTGAGGGGATCGACTACAGAATTGATTTACCCGCGAAATGGATTTTCTCGTCGAACCCACGGGAAAATAGGCAGAAGCGCCGGCAGCTCTAGGGAGCATTGTACGCATGTTTCGTATAGTCGTCGGGAAAATCGATGTTGGGGTGAGTCTATTCTGAAGTCGATCCCCTGCCCGAGCCGTCACAACGTGACGCGCCGAAGCGTCTGCTGCATTGCTCCTTTGTGGCAGTTGCAACGCTTCCCGGGGCGGACTGGACTGGACTCGGCTGGACCCGCCCTCCGTCTCCTTCCCCTCCGCCGTCCCCCTGGCGCTCCTCGCGACCTCCCCGGCCCCGCAGGTCCGCGAGCAGCGGCAGGGACTCGCGGCGAAGGCGCGGCGGGCGCTCGCGCTCGAGACCAAAAAGGACGCCCCCTTCATGCTTGTGCCCCCTCCCCCTCCTGCTCATCCTCCTCCCCTCCTCCTCCCCTCCTCCCACGGTCACGGTCCCCCGCCGTGGCGTGCGTGGGGGCGGGCTGTCCCCGAGGGAGTGGTGCCCCTCGGGTGGCTGATCGAGGCGGCACGCGCGGCTTGTCGTTGTCTAACGCCTCGGAATGTCAGAACGGGCTTGTAGGGCGGTTCACCGGCTTAGCTGCTGCGGCGCCTCTTGCGCCTGTGGCGCCCCTGGCGCGCGTGTCGGGTACCTCTCTCGCCTTTTTCGCGGCGCTGCTGCCTTCAGTGGCGCGCGTCGCCTTTTGTGCGTGGCCTCGGGGCGGGGCCGCCTCGCCACGGGCGCGCTGGGCGTGAGCCCCCGCCGCTTGCCTCTTGGGCCGAGGGTTGGACCCACCACGTACCCCTGTCGGTGGGGCCCTCGGCCCAGCGCCGCGCATTTTGCGCGCCGCTTCGCCCGCGGCGATCGCGGGCGGCCGAGGGCGGCGGGCGCTCGTGCACCTGGCCGCTTTTCGGTGTGCTCCCTTCCCCTCCTCCCCTCCTCCTCCTTTGCCTCCTCTGCCTCCTCCTCTTCCTGCTCATTTCCCCCTTCCCCTCTTCTCCATCCTTCCTTGTGAAGACCTCCTCCCTGTCGCACACACGTGTCGGCAGGGTGGGCCTTGCGCTTTCGTCTGTTATTTCTTCACCGTTCATGATCCTGCAGTTTGGAGCTTGCAACAGCTTCGACGATGGAGGGCGGCTCTGTGACTCTCATTCACGTGCCGCGCGCGTTCGTTTTACACAGTGTGCAGACCAATGTGGATCTCGCCACAGCGCTGCGGACACTTGTCTTCAAGGGTTGCAGCAGTGTCAAAGAGAGGGGGCGGGTCGTTTCAAAATGTTGGCCTTGGCTTGAGCGCCGCGCACATTCGTTTGAAGTGTGTGTGTGTATGTGTGCCTAGCTGTTTCAAGGATTCAGGGGGGTCTTTGTCAATATGTGATTCTCGCCTAGCGCCGCGGACATTCGTCATCAAACCTTGCAGCATATTGAAGGATGGAGGGCGGTTTCTTTTCAAACTGTGGCTCCTTTCTCAGCGCCGCGGACTTTCGTTTAAACAGCTTACAACAGGTTGAAGGGATTTGACGGCTGAAGACCCAGGAATGGTGTTTTGGCACGACTCGCGTCTGCCAGGGCGCAGGAGTCACGTAGATTGGCGGTGTTAAAGTCCCATGATTGGTGTTCCTGCACGAGTTAGGACTGTCAGGACGCAGCGGTCGCGTTGACTCATTGTGTTGAAGTGCCAGGAATTGTGGTCCGGCGTGGTCGAGGATGACCAGGCTGCTGTCTTCCAACGGGGTAGCTCCCCGCAGCGAACATATGTTATCGTAAGGAGCCAGGAAGAAGAGGAAATATTGAGGGAGGGTTTATTGCAACATCATTGGAGCGTCTTTGGTTTTCAGTGGTCCTCCTCCTCCTCGTCCTCCTTCTCTTTCTGTTTGCCCTCATCCACCTCCAGGCTGTGCTGCTGCTGCTCCTCGTCCTTGCACAGGCCGTGCGTCAGTTTCCCCGAGCGGCGCCGAGCAGCCGATTCCCTGTCATTCCTGCTCTTCCTCCTCGTCCTTGTTCTCCTCCTCTTCCTCCTCCTCCTCCTCCTCCTCCTCCTCCTCCTCCTCCTCCTCCTCCTCCTCCTCCTCCAGCGTTTGCTGCACATCCTGCTGCTGATCTACTTGCGGTGATCTTCAACGTCCTCGTCCAGCCTTCTGCTCGGCGTCCGCGCCTCCCTTCCGCTCATGTCCCTAACCTCATCCACTCCTCGTCAGCCTCCCTTCCCTCCTCCTTCGGATTCCTCCCTGTCCTTCCCGTCCGCCTCGGCCTTCTCATCCACCCTTCTGTCGCCGCTGCTCTCCCTCCTGCCCCTTCATTGGCTATCCTGACCTCCTGTCCCCTCTTGGTTTACCCTGATCTCCCGTGCTCCTCGTCCTGCTCCTTCTCCGCCTCCTCCTCCTCCTCCTCCTCCTCCTCCTCCTTCTCCTCCTCCTCCTCCTCCTCCTCCTCCTCGTCCGCCCCCCTGCGCCACCCGCTCCTCTCCCACCCACCCCCGCTGGCCTTGCTCCGCTCCCTGCTGCCTGGGGCTGCGGGCGGCGAAATTGCTAGCCTGGGAGGTGCCACCGGCTCTGGCAGGCATGCCCCCTCCTGATCTGCGGGGTGTGCGACGTTACTCCTCGCAGCGGAGTGCGAAGGGCCTGGCCCGCGGCTGCAAGGGCAAGTCGTGGCTCAGCCCGGGGACATCCTCCAGGCGGGGCCACTTCCGCGCTGTGTGCAATCCAGAGGCGGGGGCCCCGCTGGATCAGGTCGCACATCGCAGCCAAGCGCGTGCGATTCCCCTTGGCACGGTGGGCCCGGACGCCAAATACGGCGATGATGAAGGTCATCCCGACGCTGGCATGCGGACCCCTTTGGGTTCAGGAGGGGCGTGCATTCAAGGGCCGTCCCTCAGATCTAGGTCGGGGGACCTATTCTGGCTGAGGCTCGCCGTGGCCAGAAAAGCCGAAAAGCCCCTTCGTTCCGTTCCCAGCGTGCGCTCCTTGCGGCAGCACAGTGGCGGTGGGCCGAGAGGTCATATTTGCCTTAAGGCACCCCCTGTCTCTTCGCGTCAATAGCGCGCTTGTCTCACTGGGCCTTGCGCCGACCTCGGGGCGAGGGTCGAGGACATGCAAACACGGTTCAAGGCGCGTGGGTGCCCGACGGGTTCCGCTTCCATTCAAAATCGGTGCGCCCCGTCGCCAAATCAAGCGGCGCTGGCTTCGTCTTGCGTCCCGATCCGTGGATCTGGCCTCCACGCGCAAGACCCACAGACCCGGAGTCCATGCGAGCGTGCACCCGGGACTCGAAGGGGACCGCGCCGCGCTTGCCCACCGAGCGCCAAGAACCCCCTGCCTGCTCGCCCTGCCCACCGCCGCCCTGCTTCACCCCCCTCCTCCTCGTCCTCCTCTTTTCCATCGCTCGTCGCCTGCCTCTGCCTCCTCCAACTCCTCCTCGCCTTCCTCTGGGCAGCCCTCCTCCAATGCAACGCCCCCAGCCCTGACCCTCACCTCCCGACCTGGTGATCCAGGGGTTCCCGGCTGTTTTTTTTTGTTTTGTTCTCTGGGGCCCCCGAGAGTTCCGAGGCGACGTGAAGCGCGTCGGCATTTGCTCATCGACACTGGCCTGTCCGATCACCTCCTCCCGAGAGAGAACCGCGCGCGGGGTTTCTGTTGGACAACAGTTTTTGATGTGTTTCCATGGCGTTCCTGTGAATTGGGTGCATGGCGCTCCTGCGTGTTGAATCCGCAGCTCAGCGCGTCTTCACTTCCTCATGATCATATTATTTCTTGTCCTATTCGTCGCACCCTCCCATGTTTTGTGGCATCATTGGGAGCTCCACCGAAGGCCCCAGTGGCTGTGCCTACACCATTTTCGGCAGACCCCTCACACGCTTGGTGGCCCCATAGGGGGCTCCACCGAGGGCACCAGTGGCTGTGTCTGCACTCGACCCCGCCCGATTTCGGCAGATCCGTCACACGCTTCGTGGCCCACGGGGAGCTCCACCGAAGGCCCCAGTGACTGCGTCCGCATGCGGCCCCGCCCCATTTCGGCACACCCTTCACACGTTTCATGGACCCATCGGGATCGCTAGTTGCCAGTGGCTGCGTCCGCATGCGGCGGCCCCGTTCCATTTCGGCAGACCCGTCACACGCATCGTGGCCCCATAGTGAGCTCCACTGAAGTTCTCATTGGCGGCGTCCGCATGCGGCCCCGCGCCATTTCGGCACACCCCTCACACGTTTTTTGGCCCGCTCCATAGGGAGCTCCACCGTGGGCCCCAGTTGCTGCGTCCGCACTCGGCACCGCCCGATTTCGGCAGACTTCTCACACGTTTCGTGGCTCCATGGGCGGCTCCACCGAAGTCCCCAGTGGCTGCGTCCACACTCGACCCCGCCCGATTTCGGCAGACCCGTCTCGCGCTTCGTGGACCCATGGGGAGCTCCACCGAAGGCCCCAGTGGCTGCATCCGCATGCGGTCCCGCCCCATTTCGGAACACCCTTCACACGTTTCATGGACCCATGGGGAGCTCCACCGAAGGCCCCAGTGGCCGCGTCCGCACGCGGCCCCGCCCCATTTCGGCACACCCCTCACACGTGTTGTGGACTTGCGGGGAGCTCCACCGAAGGTTTGAATCGTTGCGTCGACTCGGCGTGGAGCGGTTATGTGTTTGGCCGCCACTCGATTACAAAGGGTTGGGTTCTTCGCCAGGCGGATGGGGGGCCAAAATTATACACCACCACCACCTCCCTCTCCAAGCAAAGAGGAGAGCAAGAGGAGGGCAGAGGAAGGAGGAGGAATCGGCGTGGTGGTGGTGGTGGTGATATGGTGGTGGTGATGGTGGTGGTTGTGTGTAGTCTTGGGGCCCCCAGCTGATTCATTGTGTTGTGGGTGCAGTGTCACGCAGTGCCTTCCGTCGGCTTCGCACCGAAGGGGGGAAGCGCCGAGGCGGCGGGTCCTCGGAGAAGGCTGAAGCCGCTTCTCAGAAGGCCAGATACCCTTTCCGAGCCTTCCCAGGAGGTCTGCCTATTTTGGCGCGCCTCTCATCCAGGAGAGGCCAGCCACGCGCAGGGGAGGGTGGGGGGAGGGGGGGCTTCTTAGAGGCAACTCTTCTTCTTAGAAGGCGCGGGCCCTTGACAGTGGAGGCCCATGCCGAGAAGCACCCTGCATGCCTCCAGGGTGCCCTTAGTTTCTTGGGCTTTGATGGTTTTGCGACGGGAAGCCTACGGTAGGTTCGCGTCGTGTCGACCGGCGGCGACCCCGCCGCCGACGTTCAACGTTGAACGCCGACGGCGGACCAGAATCGGTCGATGTTGAACGATCGGACGTTTCGGAAACGGCCGATCGTTCAAGGTTGAACGATCCAGCGCGGTGTCAGGAACCAACGCCAGGGTCGACACGGCACGGACCTGCAGTACATTATCGATGTGCCGAAAGCTTCGCCGAGTCTACGAAGCAACTACGTAGAATGCTCCAGAAGTTTTCTTGGATTCGAAAGGGGTTTCTCAATTCTCGGGTGCGTGAATTCGGTAGTCGATGCCCTGCTCGATGTTCCGTCCCCCTT